GCGGCTTTAGTCCACTCCTTAGTGCCAACTTCACGTTTTTCAATTACATATCCTTGAATTGGAGCACCACCATCAGTCAGTGGTCGGCTCCATTGAAGGGTGATGGCTTCCTCGGAGGTTTCAAGGGCTTCTGGCCTTCCGGGAGCTCCAGGGGTAGCTGAAAGAACAATTTAGAGTGTTAGAGTTCAAGGTAAATGTATGGAAACTCACTAAATGGATCTTTAGCAACAATAACATCGTCTGTCTCAAGCGGCTGTCCTACGCCATACTGATTTTCGGCAGAAACTCGGAATTCATAAGGTTGGTTCCTGTCGAGGTTTCTCACTCGCATAGAGGTGCCAACTGGATGCCCTACCACTACCCATTCTCCGCCTGGAGTTCTCTTCTCGACGACGTAGTTCGTGACGTCGTCACCTCCATTATCCTTTGGAGGCAGCCAACTCAAAGTCATGGCATCTCCTTGTATGTCCGACGCCTTTATGGGTCCAGTTGGTTTTCCAGGCACATCTAATACATTCACATTCAGTTTGGCTGTGTCTTTGCCGAATCGGTTGGAAACGACAATCTTGTAAGGACCAGCATCGCTCCTCTTCGAATCTGTTGTCGTGATAACAATGGCATCAGGAAGAACGTCAATAACTGTGCGATCGTTCTCGAACAATGGTGTAGTTCCATTGAACAAATCCACAATAGGCTTCGGATTGCCGCCGCTGTACGGAATTTTGATCTGAATAGTCTCTCCAGCGCGGACGGTGATGTCTTTGAGGTTCGACAGGTCGAATACTGGTCGTCCGGGTTGTTCTTGAATGACTACCAAGTCTGATGGTTTTGAAGGTTCACCTTCTCCAGCTGAGTTTACGGCAACAACGCGGAATTCGTATTCCTCCTTTTCGCCGAGACCGTCGACAACAAGAGAGGTTCCCTTCAAGAGACAGATTTGCTAAGGTTACAAATTGTCTGAAGGAGTTATCTTTACCTTGACTGGTTTTGCGTTCACCCTTGACCAATCCGTGTCTCCAATCTTCTTCTTTTCGACGTAATAACCGTCAATTGGAGCACCACCATCTCTCATTGGCTTACTCCACAGCACTTCAGCAGAATTCTTGGTGATATCACCAATTCTTGGTTGATCAGGAGCTCCAGGTGGTACTGAAATGAACTCATAAACATAGAATTAGCATACTTACAAGTAAATGTAGCGGAGGAGAAACTTGCCAACAAACGGTTTGCAGGTGACTGGCTCGGTTCCGCCACTGGCTTCTCCTTGACCAGCGGCGTTAACTGCTCTGACACGGAACTGATAGGTTTCTCCTTCATGAAGATTAGGAATAGTGACCTCAGTGCCCTTGATCAGCGGCATCTTGATAGGTGACCAGTCACCGCCACCCTTCTTCTCAAATTTCTCAACAACGTAGCCCAATATCGGAGAACCGCCATCATCTTTCGGTGGATTCCAGGCTAACGACACCATATTCGAGTCATAACCAGTGACTTCTGGGGTAGAAGGAGCACCTGGTGGGTCGTATGGATCTTTGATTAGAACTGGGCCTGTAGTAGCATAGTCGGAGGCTCCAACAAGATTCTCTGCTCGAATTCTGAAGCGGTACTGTTCGCCATGCTCGAGACCACGAACGGTATATGATGTGCCAGCGACACTTCCGGGAACTTTTTCCCAAATTTGCGATCCGATAGGCTGGTATTCGATTTTGTATCCAGTAATCTCTGAACCTCCATCGTCCTTGGGCGGTGTCCATTTGAGTGTGCAAGTATGTCGCGTGATTTCATCGCTTGCAAGTCCTTCGGGAGTTCCTGGTTTGTCAATCACAGTGACTTTAATGTCTGCTTCAGCAGTTCCGTAAGGATTGGAAGCCTTGATTTTGACCGGACCAGCATCACTGCGGCGAGCCTTTTCAATGTAGAGACGTGTTTGTGAGTCGGTGGTTTCTACTCCTATCATCTCTTTCGCGTCTTTGATCCATTTTACTTCTGGGGTAGGAGAACCGTGCATTGGTACGACGATGTTGAGCGGTTCGCCAACTTTGACACGGAACTCCTTGCCATTGATATCCATATCAAAGACGGGACCTTCGAACATGGGCTTGGCGGTGGCTGCAGCTGAGGGATCCGATGGTGCACCTGGACCACTCTTATTTACCGCCACTACTCTGTACTCGTAGGTGTGATCTTTCTGTACTCTTACGTCCGAGAATGTCGTTCCACTTACGGGAGTTGTATTGACCTATAAGTAACTTACACATGCACATTTGTTCAAGGGATAGCGAGATTTGCAGAATTTACCTTGACCCATCTTCCAGTTTTTAGGTCTTTCCTTTCGATGTCATAGTGCTCGATAGGAGAGCCACCATTGTCGCGTGGTGGATCCCATTTGATGTCAATGTGGTCATTATCTGTGTCCACGATTTGGGGCTAAAATTCAATTATATGAATTGTTTTCTAAACATCAAAAATGAATTACCTGTCCAGGTTTTCCAGGAACCCCAAATGGATCTTTAGCAAGTACTGGTTCCGTCGTATTTAATGGATCTGATCGTCCGAAGGCATTTTCAGCCATGACTCTGAACTCATATTCATGTCCTTCCACGAGCTTTGGTACGGTTATTTTTGTTCCCGTGACGAACGCCGACACGGGAACCCAGGTATTCGTCTTTGTGTCACGTTTTTCAACAACATAATTGGTTATTTCAGATCCTCCATCGTCAGCAGGTGGATTCCAGCTGAGCACGCAACTATCCTTCGTTACGTCTGAGACTTCCAAGGGTCCTTCGGGAGCGCCAGGGTGATCTGAAAAATTGCTTTACTTAGGAGGCTGATATCAAGTGAGGTTCAAAGCTTACCTTGCACTATAACCTCGAAGATGCCCTCATCTTGACCAACTTCATTTTTCACTTTCAAAGTGTACAATCCACTGTCACTTCTCTTTGCGCTCGGGAAGAAGATGCTGGTGAGGCCAGGCTTTGTTTCAAGCAAAAGCTCTTGTGGTAAAGGTTGTCCTTCTTTGAAGCCCCATGTTGCTGTAGGTTCGGGTGCTCCATCGAACTCCACTTCCATTGTGTGGGTATGGCCCGCCTTGATTTTGATCTTGCGATTTTGCGTGAGAATTTTTGGTTTTACTAAAAAGTCACGTATTATTTAGGGGTTTCCAAGAATAAGAAGAAATTTATAACTCACAATATCGGGGTTTCGTCATCTGAGCGTCAGTAGGTTCAGATGGATCCGAAGGGCCAGCTTCATTGACGGCAATGACCCGGAACTCGTATTCTACGCCAGTTTTGAGGTTGTTCGCTGAGAAAGTCGTGCCGGAAGTTCTTCCCGCTTCATTCCAGATAGCACTGCCCTTCTCCTTCTTTTCGACGATATAATTCTTCACTGGGCTTCCACCATTGTTCGCTGGTGGTTTCCATTGTATGTCGATACGGTCCTTGTCCCAGTCAACTACCTCTGGTTTATCGACTGGATCAGGAACATCTGCGTAGGTGATACGATTAAAAAATAGGTCTTTTCGCTGAAAAAACGCTGCTGAACTGACCAAATTCATTTTTGGCAATGATAGGCTCTAGAGTTTCAAGTGGTTTCGACTCTCCTTGTAGGTTCACGGCCATCACACGGAACTGGTATTCCTTGCCGTTGATCAGCTTATTTACCTTAGCAGTGCATTCAGGGAATTCGCCTACTTCCTGCCAAGTTCCACGCGAAGTGTCCATCTTTTCGACACGGTAATGAAGGATCTCCGAACCTGGAAGAAGAATTTTAAAGATATATAACGGAAAGTTCATCATGAAATGTACCTCCATTATCAGCTGGTGGCTTCCATGTAAGTGTGCATCCCTCTTTATGGATTTCATTGACTTTTAGTGGTCCTTCAGGAGTACCTGGTACATCAAGCACAGTGACAGTGCATTGAGCTTTGTCTTTTCCATGTTCGTTCTCCACTGTGACCGTGTAGAGTCCTGTGTCTCCTCGAACACTCGAGAATATTTGAAGTTCTGATGTAGTAGGAGTTGTAGTGATATCAGCTCTTTGGCTTGTTCCAAGATTGGTATCATTGGCAAACCAAGTTGCCGTAGGAGCCGGCTCGCCCTCGAAGGCTACTTCTAATTTAAGCGGAGTGCCTGCTTTGATTCGAAGATCCAGCAGACCAGCGAGGTTGATTTTTGGAGCCACTGAAAGCACATTACTGATTCATCAGGAAAAAGAAATGATTCGAAATGTTACTCACTCTTTCTTGGTTTTGCCACAATATTTCCGGTAGGTTCTGATGGCTTTCCCGGACCAGCTTTGTTAACTGCTTTTACGCGGAATTGATAAGTTTCTCCTGCCACAAGGTTGCTGGCAGTGGCTTTTGTTGTTTTGCCATCCACAGTTGCGCATGGTACCCACTCTCCGTATCTGTCCTTCTTTTCAACAATGTACTGTTCAATCGGTGCACCACCATTATTTTCAGGAGCCTAAACACAAAATATAGCAGAAAAAAATAATAAGCCTTGTTTCTAACAAACCTTCCATTCAAGATCCACATGGTCCTTATCCCAATCGACGGGAGTAACATCGGTTGGTGCACCAGGTTCGTCGAACGGATTCTTGGCAGTAATCGCATGATCGGTTTGCAGTGGAGCTGAGACTCCTTGTCGATTCACAGCTTTCACTCGGAACTTGTATTCGTGACCCTCATTTAGTTTGCCAACTTTTAGATTAGTATCGGCTGTTTCGCCACACTGAAAACATCGAAAATTGGCTCACTTACGGAAATTGCCCTTTCAACTGATTTCAGTCACTTAAAAAGTTAATTTGCATAGCTAAAGAAAAAAAGCTTTTAAAGTCTCTCAGATCGATCGTATTCGACTCGTCCGATCATAGTGTAACCTCTATACAGTTATGGATTTAGCATAAAGCGTTATTCGAAATCATCATGAAGAAAATGGCTGAATTGGTTTGT